GCCTGCTGGCATAACCAAATCTTAAGGGACCTCCTTAATCTCAACAATGACAAGGCCAATCTCACCTCACCAAATTATTTTTTTTAAAAAAAGTTAATGTGAGGACCAGTCGTAAAGTTACTTTTTCAGCATCGTCGTAATTTTGAATGGTTGCTAAACAAGGCAGTTGTTAAGTGAGGACTACCTGTAATGAATTTAAATTATAGGAAGATATATTCTATTTAATGTTTAAACAAGGTAGGGAATGGCTGCAGAGAATAGCTTCTGGAATATTTTCCAACCCCTCCTTAATAATTGTTCTGTTCTAGGCTACATGGCCTAGAAGATGAGGAGCTCAGAATGGAGCAGTCACCAACATTTTGAGCCACTGCCATAAAAATGTATTTGGAGAATTCTTCAGGATTTTTTTCCTCCATGGTGTCCAACTGGATTAACTCAATTTTTCTTTTGCCAGATTCTCCTCCCACACCAAATTTGGTCCAGTTCTGTATAGTTTCTATAGAGTTATACTGCTGAGAGACAGGAAAAAATTCAGAGTGAGCCCCAACCCCTTTACATAATTTCTTTCCAGAATTTGTTGGATTGAAAGAATAAAAAAACCTAACTCAAGAGCGACAGTGGAACCCGAGAGGAGGTAGTTTGCCTTCATTGTATGTGTTCAAGCAAAGGCTGGACAGCCATATGTTGGGACACTTTAATTGGGATTCCTACACTGAGCAAGGGATTGGGCTAGATACCTACATGGCCCCCTCCTACTCTCTGATTCCCCAAAATATAACCTCCCAGTAGGAAAAAAAAATCAAGCATGAGGAACAGTTAAGTTTATCATCCGTTATTGATTTCATGTAACTATTTTCAAACTTTCTCAATATTTAAATGTTTCATGAAGTGCATGGTTTCTTTCTCACACTGAAGACTTTTATTCATAATATGCAACCAAGGCAAGTAGAAACTTAAAGATATCCTGCTCAGAAAAAGGAGGACTATCTGCTTTTCATGTTTAAGTTCACCATTTGGTTCTAAAGCAGAAGTTAGGATGATCAGTGTTAATTTTTTTTCCGTTTTTGTCTCATGATCACTGACATTTTCAAACTCCCTATTTCTCATGTTATTAAGGGTATTTGTTCACAGCTCATTATAGATTTTTATTTTAAATATTTACATTAAGGATAATGGGAAACATGTAAAATGTGAGGTATCTTATGTGTAAACCATAAAAAGGATATGTAATTAAAATACCAGTTAATCTCCTTTTCCCAGCCCTATAATGTGTTCCAGAATACAATGCTCTTTTGTTAAAATAATTCCTCTTAAGAATCTAACAAGGCTATATTTTTTCCTTATTTTTTTTTCCTTATTGATGTATGATCTTTAGTTGGTCTCCTGCCATTTTATTAAATACGGATTAGAAATAGCATTGGTCTGTTGGAACCATAATTCTTGTAATAGGATAAATAGCAAATAATATTTGATTTGTTGCTTGTGCACTCCTGACCTTGTTGTACTGAGTTTAAGACAAATACAAAAAAAAAAAAAAAATGGTGGTGTGGATTCGCTTGGGGAGATGGTGCCCAAACCAGACAAGAGGCTGAACAAGTCTCTTCAAAAAGCATATTATTAAAAAATATCCTTTAGCATAAAGATTCCTCTACAAAGAAAAGAGTTTGTTTTGTTTTTTTCTTAGCCCTTATATTGTTTTTCTTATTCCCAGGAATTATTATTCGTTTCACCCTGTGTTGTCCTATTCAGCATTCTATCCAGTCCTACTTTATTCACCATTCCATAGTCTATCCACTTATTATGGCCCCGTATTCCCAATGCGATATCTCCTTTCCTACTACATGTATCTATTTAAAGTATCTCAATTTATTTTTCCTTTTAACTCCATCTAGGATTTAAACTCTTGAGCCCTTCAACTTCCCCCCTAGTTCTTCCCACCCACTCTGTCCCACAGTCACTTGTGGGGTCAGTTGACTGGGGCCTGAGTGGAGGCTGGGGTTGTCTGCTTCTTCCTTGTTTCTTGAAGGCTGTAGCAGCTCTCAGGGATTTAGTTCTCTTCAACACCAGCGACTATGACTTCTGCAGGACTCCCTCCTGTCCAATTCTTCACTTTGACAGCATTTAGCCTCTAAATGTCAAGCTTCCTGAACCTTCCTGCCTTTCGCCAGCCCCTTCCAAGCTGCAGAATTGCTGGAGCTGGTTGCGGAGTCACTGATGTTATGGTGGCTGGTCATGTTACTGCACCTTCCGATGCCCGCCTGTCATCTGTTCTCATCAGAAATTCTCTTCTTTCTGATGGGGTGGGAAACAACATCCAATTCCCAGTTTCACCAGTCAGCTCTCTTTTCTCCTTGGAGTGGCTTAAGCACTTAGCCTCCTTTGTTTTTATTTGTTTAACACTGCTCAGTGTTCCTCCAGGGCTGAGGAAAGCCCTTCACCCTCTCCCCCCCAAGTTGTTCAGCTTGATTTCTGTTTCTGTTCTTTCTCTCTCTCTGGGTTGTATTTTTTATGGGCCTTCTTCCCATGGGGCGTCTGCTTGCCTTCCCTCAATTGAACTTTGGTTTCAACTGAAGCTCTTTCTTCTCCCCCACCAGCCATTGGAGCACATCTGATTTCCTGCCACTGGCAAAAAGAATCAAAAGGAGGCGGGAGGAGGGCAAATAGGGACTTGCCATCATCCACTGTTTCCTCCTTCTACAAATGGGTTGGGCAATACAGAGAAGTAACTCCAACCAAGTTTAGTTGAATGGTAATCATGAAATGGTGATCTAAATCTTTTGGGGAATTTGGGAATACAGAATTATTTGCTCTTGAGCTATGTAATTTTAATGCAGTGTCTTGTAAAGGAGTACTACAACCCTCAAGATGATGAGTGACACGTGAATTAAAGTTTATCATGCATATGCCAATTAGGTGTTGCTACATATTTTTAATGGATCCCCAAAAGTTTAACAATTTGCGTTCACACGTCCCCTTATTTATCCACCTGTAGTGCATTTCTGACCATTCAAATATATATATCTCCCCAGCCACACTGAAGGCTTTTGGGGATGAATTTGCATAAGCAGCATACCCCACTGTACATATTACCAATACTTGAAGTGATAGTGGTCATATTCACTGGTGCTCCAAAAACTGATATTATTTATTGTCTATCAAGAAACCTTGATTAATTCACAAACTTGAATGCTTTGATTGATGAAAATTTAACTTCTACATTATAGCCCAGACAGTACAAGGAAGAGTATAATATACCCCTGAAATTTATATATTTCAGACTTCATATATGTAAGAAAAAGTGAACACTTTTTTCTTAATTTAGAATATATAACTAAAGAATAGCAGCTAGTTAACATGTTTGTTCATGCTGTAAATGTAAAACTCATTGTTGACAGCTAGTACCTTCTCTACTTCCATGTCTACCCCCTGAACTTTGACACAACCTTTTTAGCTAGCTTCATATATTACACTAAGCCATTTTAATGGGTTTGTTGGATAAGGTACAACTGGCAGAGTTCACCCAACAAGTTAAACTATATGTCAGGCATGGCCAACCTGAGGATCTAGAACCACATGCCAACCTCAAACTACTTTTTCAACTCTCAAGATTTTTACTGTGGGCCATAATCCAAGAGGTGAGTAGGGTCAGTCATAAGCTAAATTTAATTTAAATTTAATTTAATTAGCTGTCAGGTTCAGCCCAAAGAACTCCACGACACAGTGCAATACAGTTCTGTTGTGTTTATTAGCTTCCACCTCAAGACAGAAATCTCTCCAGACTGAACCAAATTCCCAAAGCCAGCAAGCCACAACACCGTGAATTCCTTAGGGTGGTGCCAGTCTCAACTTCTTAAACTTCCCACGCTCCTACTGGGGGCTAAGGAAATGCTTATCTCCCTGAGTGTGGCCTTCATAACACCATTCTATCACATTAACATTAAATTAATAAAATATATTTAATATGTTTACAGACTATTAATTTTATGATTGTATGGAGACTTGAATCTCTATTATTGTATATTTTAATCTGAAAGATATCTATCTTGTTTAGCTGCAAAGGTCTACAGGTGAACCTGACAGGAACAATACTACAGCTGTCATTTAATTATTATTTGGCTGGAAGAAACAAGGGAAGAAACTGCAACAGACCATATCAGTGAGGCTGCAGTTACATGAGACTTGAACTGTGTGCATCATGCAGTAATGATTGATTATCTTAAATTAATGTCAGTAGTTTAACTAAACATTATTCTTGTAGGCTGGCAGTGATGGGGAAAGTATTGGAAATTGCCCATTTTCTCAACGCCTCTTCATGATTCTCTGGCTAAAGGGTGTTATTTTTAATGTTACCACTGTGGATTTGAAACGGTGAGTTATAAGCCTTATGATCTATTTATTTTTAATATCAAGTCTTTGGAAGCTTCCAGGTCAAGAATTCATAGCTCAAATTACTCAGAGAGACATCTGTAAATTTTTGCTAACTCCAAGTGACCTCTTATCAACTCCTTCACTGTCATGAAATAATTACATGTTTTTGCCATCAAAATCAGTGAAAAAGTGTAGAGATTTGAGACACATGGAAAGGTACAGCAAAACTTGAAATTGAAGTAGAAGGGAGAAACTGAGAAATTAGCATGAGGAAGAAATTGTGGATAAAAGGAATAAAAGACACAAAGGAGCAAAAAAGCACTAGGAAGATGCTTAGAGTTATATAATTTCTTTATTTGCTTTATTTCCAGTATTTCTATATGACCTCAATTACACATCTTCAGACAAATCAAATAATAAAAACAAATAAAGCCATTATAGATGTAACTCTCAAAAAATAAAATTTAAAATAGCCCTCTGCCAATCAGTTAGGAAGCGAAGTGTAGGTTTTAGTCTCCAAAGGCCTGCTAGAAACACCATGTAGGTACTGCTTTCTAACAGATGACTACAATGAAGGCTAGCTAGATTTTGGGGGCAGCATATTTCAAAAGGTTGAGGCGGTGATAGAGAAGCATTGGTTTTGGGACCCTATCCTTCACTTCCTGAACTGAGTTCTACAACAGAGCATTAACCTGTACCTGCCTTCAACAGATGAGATTGGGGGCATGAGAAGAGGATGGTAAAGACTTCTCTGCATCGGCCAATGTTTGGGAAAAGAGCATGGAGTATTTTAAATAGTATATGGTATAAATTCTGAACCATTTCTCCTGTCTGTTCAGAGAGTGTCAACTGTCCGTTTTAGCTGCCATTCCAGAATTACAATAAAGATTTAGTTCCTAGCCTTGCTTGTCCATGCTGTAACTTGGTAAAAAATCAGGAGTTTTTCCAAAACAGTGACTATTATCAAAGCATTTTAACCTCCCTAGTTACTCTATGGTGGATCTTAAAGTGACTGTTTGGAAAAACAGGACTTTGAGTGAGAAACTGTTGAACATACAAGGTTTCAGGCAATTTCAGAAGGTCTCAACAAGCACAATGGTTTTTAACACACTACAGTTTTTTAATTGATTAAGTATTTATAATGTTTCACATTTAACCTTTATCTATATAACCAACCTATCTTCCCTGTCCTCCCCTACCCTCCACCTCACCCTTATTTAAATCCTAGTCAAGCCATTCTATGCATCTGATGAAGTGAGATACAGCTCACAAAAGCTTATGCCTTTTAAGAAAAGGTGTCAGTTGGAAAAGATGCTACCAGACTCCTACTGATTTTTTGCCATCATAGACTAACATGGCTCTGCTCTTATGATGTCTGATTTGTGGCTATGTCAGGAGATGGCATGAGGACTTGCATTGTGTTAGCCACTTTCCCAGTCAGTTGATTTACTTCTGGGTACTAGCAATTCATGGTACTCAGATGAAAGAGAAAGCCACTATTTTGTAGTCCTCCCAGCTGCCATGATGAGAATGGAAAACTATATTTCCCTATTTCTTTTTCCCCCCTTTCCCCCCAAAATAATGAAAAATATGTGGTGGCTTGATTAGAGCTGGCACCATCTAAAATGTCAGAGGGGAACTCAGTCAACCTGTCCCTTTCTTTGTGTTTCGTCAGAATGCTGAGAGGAGACTCATTCTTCCAAAGCCATTCTAGGATTTCATCTCTCTTTCATTTTCCAGATGGGAGAGTTGTATCTCTGTTAGCCATTTTGCATCTGTTTGAATGACATAGTTGATACGTTTTGCTAACTCCCTCACCCCCGGACTAGTTTAGCATGTCACACAAACGGGGCCATCATGTCTATTTAGACTGAACTAAGTGTGATTTATTCCGACAAATGTACTTGAATGCTACACTGGCAATCACTGTTTTAAATTCCAAGACAGGTAGCTGAACTAAAATTCAATAATTTGCAGTTAGCCAGTTTTTGTTTTTATTTTTTGCTTCCCTCAAACAAGATATTTCTGTTTGTGTAGGAAACCTGCAGACTTACAGAAGTTAGCTCCAGGAACAAATCCTCCATTTATGACTTTTGATGGTGATGTTAAAATAGATGTAAATAAAATTGAGGAATTTCTAGAAGAAAAGTTAGCACCACCAAGGTATAGTATTCTGCTGTGCTACGATTAATTTGATATTATACAGAATGGGTGTTGAATATTCTTAAATCATTGAGCATCGAGAGACCATGGATTGAAAAAGATTAAATATGGCTAATGGATGGGTAAGACATTTGACTGACATAGACAGTTAAGATCTATTTCAGGAGTCTCAAATAAAATGCTGAAAAACAATGAGATGGAATATAATTTTTGTGTGTTAAATTTTTCAGATATCCTAAACTTGCACCAAATCATCCAGAATCATACTCTGCAGGAAATGATGTATTTGCTAAATTTTCTGCATTCATAAAAAATACAAGGGAAGATGCCAATGAAAGTAAGTATTATAAACTTTGTATCATTACTAGTGAGTAGTGATAATGTTATTCATTGATATATTTGTATATGGCACTCTAACAGGATTAAATGGAAGTTCATGTGAAGAAACTTTTGTTTCCATTCTCCAGTTCCATACACCCCCCCCATGCAACCCCCCCCTATTTGGATAGTATGTGTAAAGTGGTATTCTAGGACACAGGAATATATATATATCTCTGCACAATATAGTAGCTATGCCACCTCATTTACTGGACTTTAATCCATGTTTTTTTTTTCATAGCAAGGGAAATTAAAGCATAGAAATGTATGTTTTGAAGTCTGAGGACACTTCCACATGGGCTGTTGCACTCCTCCAGTTTCCGTAGATGCCATGTCATTTGTGTTTGGCACCTGCATCTATTAACTCAGCTGTAGGAAATCTAGAATTGCAAAGACAAAAAAGTGATCATTCTATTTGCAATAATAAAGTTTTTGCAGAACTTCTGGGTTTGTTTTCCTAGGCTTCTGCTAATGTAGCATTCAAGTCGCAGGTCCCATAAAGGAGAAGGGTACCTTGATTTACAGACCTCCACAGCAACACTCAAAATTGTTTTTTGCATAGGACTAGACAAATGGTCAAAAGCAGCTGGGATTGATCTGGGTTGTTTTGATTCTGTACATGTTCTTGCAGCTGTTCCAGCATACACAGTAGCCTAACAGAGGCTTGAGGTAACACAGAGAATTGGGGGTAAACCAATAAAGAGGTCATTCTCTTTCATCCTTTGCTTTAGCAGGGGATTAAATACAAGCTGTGGCTTCTGGATTTTTTGTTTGCTTGATTTTCAAGTCACTGACTCAAAAATGGTTGGGATGAGTTTCTTTTCTGCTTTGATGAGTGCAGTGGGTAGTGGGAAAATGTTTGTTGTCTCAGGACTATCTCTCTCACACGTTCTACCCCTGAGATGACCTTCAGCACCCTGATCGAGATGCCTTTCTATAGCCATTTATCTCCCTCTTGCCTTGACTACATCCTCTCAGCAATATGCAATCTTGGTTTCAGCCCCTGGGAGGGAAGAGTGCTTGGTTGCAAAATTACCCCAATGCTATCTTATCACTGTAGCTAGCCAAAGACTTTTATATGCAACAGCAGCTTCAAAGATACCCCTTTATAGTAATTTTATTTGCTTTTCATTTTCTCTACCCCATGTTTTTATTTATTTACTTTCTTTTCTAACTGATAGCTAATATTCTGTGGCTACTGATCATGCTTAATCATCTTCATCAACTTGTTTGTTTCCTTTAGGTATTATTAGAGGTTAAGAGCCCCCCCTCTACCTGATTCGTCCTCCATTTCACCACCTGCTTTCTCCCTTATATTTTCTACTCCTTTATTCTCTTCTTTAACATTACAATCTTTATCCATTTATCAGCTCAGATTCTGAGTGCAGGGCTTGGCTGAGTGGCCCCACCGTTTTGGATTTTATATCTTCTCCTTTCTCCCACGTGGACAGCTTTGTCACTTGTGGTGCGTCTGTGCGTGTGTGCGTGTATGTGTGTAGGGTGGGGAGTACTTTTTACAAGTTATTTTCTCAAGATCTTTTTATCACAGCAAGTATCAGATTTCTCCCTCCAAGTATTCAGACTGTTATCTTCCTCTTCTTGGGTAGCGCTGTTTTGGCTACATAATTACCAGGGTACAAATAGTGAATTCCACTATTCTCCTTTTTCTTTGATTCTAGATTTAGAAAAAGCATTGCTTAAGGCTTTAAATAAACTGAATAATTACTTAACTACACCCTTGCCTGAAGAAATAGATGCCTATAGCACTGAAGACATCACTGTTTCCACAAGGAAATTCCTAGATGGTGATGAACTCACATTAGCAGATTGCAATCTCTTGCCAAAACTTCATATCATCAAGGTTTGTTTTTTTTCCTTTATATAAAACTAAATAATGCATGCAAGAATAATTCCTCCTATACATTTGTTTCATAGTGAGTGAATACTCCAAACTATGTTTATGTATGCTTTTATGCAGTGTTTATGCCAATTTGTCATATAAACCATTTTTAGAAAATTATAATTTCAACTCAGATTTATCTCACATTTAATATTTTAAAAATCCTTACTTTAAGTTTAGTCTATTCTATCCCTTCCATTCAAGCCAAACAGTTAATGAAGAAGAATGACCAAAAACTATGAATGTCCAATTTTTTTTCAGATTACCTGTTTTTCAAAGTGCAAGATATAAAATACTTCTTTAGTGCTACATTAAAGTTCATTTTGTACAATTTTCCATCACTATATTTTTGGTTTCTACCAATTCCTTAAGAAACAATACTCTGTTGATAAGCCTAATGATTTCTTCATTTATCTTTTTTTTTTTTTAAGGTTGTGGCAAAGAAGTATAGAAATTTTGAATTTCCATCTGAAATGATTGGTATCTGGAGATATTTGAATAATGCATATGATAGGGATGAATTCATAAATACTTGCCCTGCAGATCGGGAAATAGAACATGCCTATTTGGATGTTGCAAAAAGAATGAAATAAACCAAGAATGTTCTGTGTCTTATATTTCTTCTGTGAGTGTGATTTTTTTTAAAGAAATCAAAAGCAAACCATCCATTCAGCAGCAAGGTTTTTAAGCTATGAAATGGAGAAATTTTCTGGGTACAACTATTTTATTAATCCACTTATTGAAATATATAGTATGTGGGATTTTTTGTATGTTTGTGTGTGTGTGTGTGTGTGTGTGTGTGTATGTGTAATTATGGATATGCATATAAACTAGACATATAGGCTGTATGTTAATTTGATCAAAACTGACAACATTTGCAATAGTGACATCTAAATTATATAACAATTACAGGTTTTAGGCTTCTGATAGTTATTTTCCTACATCAAGAACTTGAGAGGTTATGTAGGGTTAAAATTTAAAGGACTTAACTGGAGCTATTTTTCTTTGTTTTGCTTCCAAGTCTAATAAGAACACTGAAGAATAGTTATGTATGTTGTCCCGCATGTAGATTTCTATTTGAATTGATCGACTTCTAGGTACCAATCACAGCTGATTGCTTGCAAACATCCATTTTTAAACATTGATAATAAGGTATGGAGGATTTGATATAATCCAGCTTCTGTTGGCATTGGGAATAACAACTAAAAGACTTCAGATAAGTTTATACTGTATAGCATCAGTCTCCAGGCACCACAAAAGTAAATGTAAAATTCCATTATTTTCTCTTGACATTTCTGGAAGACTTCAGCATTCTCACCTGAAATTTATATATTAGCACCAACATCTTGCCAAATTTGGCAAGATCATTTTGGCCTTATTTTATTTTAAATTATTTTTTATTTGGCTTGGAGGCTCTAGGACAGTGTTTCTCAACCTTGTCAACTTTAACATGTTCCAGAATTCCCTAGTCAGCAGTGTGAGTTGAAATCCACACATCTTAAAGTTGTCAAGGTTGAGAAACACTGCTCTAGAGGCTGGGTGTGCCACAAATTCTTTGGTGCCTGAGGAATTGCATTGGCAATTTCTGGTCTGTTGTGTTTCATCCATGGGGGCCCAACAACAGGTAGTTGCACCTGTGTGCTTGTTTTACAGAGATCTAGACCTCTTTGGAGAATTCTCATTGCACATGTAAATGCCAGTTTTTGTATTCCATGGCATAATAATCCCAAGCACTGCTGCATCAACTTCCAAGTATTTAACAATTCATTTACCTACAAGGCAGGTGCCAAAGGTCCTAATTTCTACTGTTGGCTGCAATGAAAGTTATTTATTAGTGAGGGAAAGCCAGACAGCTGCTGGAATGGCCTTATTGTTGAGCTCATAGTCCCTTTGACTATGAGGATAGTCAGAGACATTTTAAATAGAGACAACAGATTCCTGTTCTCATTCAAATGTATTACAGTTTCTGTTTTGTTTCAGAGCTATTGCCAGATTGATTGAGTGAAGTCTTAAAAAGAAGAAGTTACTTCATTTTCTCCCTCTCAAGATACATGGAACAAATAAAACAAAGAAATCCCTTGGTTTAATACTTTGGTATAAGGGCAAAAAGAAGCTGCTATTAATTCTTCATAATACTTGCATCTAGGAAGATGACTTGTCACAGATATATTAACTTTCCATAAACATTGATTTAATACTTTGGATGCCAGGGGGATCCAAGGGAAATTATTTTTCCCTTCCCCTGTCTGCAGTCAAACCAAGATTAATACTATATTTGATATGTTACACAGGAAACAAATATTACTGCTACATTCAATCTGCTGAAGCATATATAAACAATACATTAAAATATTGTAGTTAATTAATATACTTCACATATTTGAACAGAAAATATACAAATTATGATTTAAATATGTTGATCTGTATTTTAAGTTTGTACTGATTTTAAGTTTGGAGAAAGGGAAGAATTAGGAAACCATTTGGATCAAAACTACTGAATTTAAATATAACTAATTGGTTTAAATGGAAGCATTAGCCATTTGCTTAATATTACTCCATTAGGTCCGATGCCATTTCAGAAAGTGTAACCATAGTTTATGGTGAAAAAGAAGACAGACATTTGTGTTTTTACTAGATCTGTAGAAGAAAATTGAGCAGCTCATTGTATAAGTTACACTTTCATAATCAGAAACAAAAAAGATAAAGAAAATTGAATCACCATATTCTTGGAGTACTTTTAGTAAAAAGCAAGGTTATGCATAGTTCTAGTGCTTGGATTAAAAAAAAATCACTTCATTAATTGCAGAAAATTCAGATAATTGAGCTAAATGTATGAAATTGTTATTACTAGTACTAGTAATATAGTAACTGAGATAATACCTTATCACTATGAACCCAGCTAGGAACAATTGTTCTTGGCTACTGTGCCTTTTATGAATGACTGATTAAAGAGATTCATGCATTCATTACTGGAATAATATAGAAAAGTAGGGCTTGCATTTCAAACACCACATAAAACAAAAAAAATAAGATAAAATTCTGCACAAAGAAAACTACTATCACAATTAACTATCCTATCCAGTATCACCAATTTCCTATGGTCCTGCTAATCAAGTACCAAACCAGCACCTTGTCACTTTTCATAGCCATCTATAAGTAGAAGCTAACTTGATTTTGAAAGGTACTCATGGATTCTCACAGCCTGTTTTTTTATATTCCTCATTGTATACTTACCTTGAAGTACATTTTATTCCTGAACAGAACTGGCTTTTTAAACAATGCTCAAGGGTTGGTGAATTTCCTAATGCCATCAACAGTTATCCTCTGACCCAGAATAGAACTTGTCCTACTCAAAGTATTCAGCTATATTTACTAATTATTGCATCTTTCCAAACAGTATTACCAAATTAAGCATGTCAGCTGTTTAACATGCTGATTGCCATGTTACTACTACTGTTACTACTGATGTAGTGAATGACAGTATCTCACACAGCATGGAAATAGAGTTTTCCAACTAAGTGTGTTATGAACCATAATATATTCATTCCAGGACTCCCCACTTCCTATGGATTGCTGTCATGACAGCATTTAAGGCACAAGAGCCTGGGAAACCTAATTTCCAAACACACAACGTTCAATGGCACACAACTGCACATAATGTTATACAGGTAGTCCCTTGGTTAAGAACGCCCAGTTTACAGATGACCCATAATTAAGATTGGAGCCTATTGTAGCAAAATTCGAGTTAGATACACAATGTTCAAGTTCATTACACAATACTACTTATACTGTATTATACAATAATACTGTTCTGGCTTACATTCAAATTCGACTTAAGGACAGACCTTGGGAATGGAACTTTTTCTTAAACTGGGGACTGCCTGTACCAACACTGAAAACTACATTTCTCAAAGTTCTTGGCATCTGTGAACTTTGCAGTGCTAGCTTTCTAGATAGGAGAAAAGAGAAGTCTGACTTGCAAAGTGCTGCCCAGTTGAACTTTCTCAGATGTTGAGGCTGCTACTGCCAAATAAATGGAAAGGATCAAGATAGTGGCTCGAGGTTCAGAGATCTGTGCATGGACTTGGAGTGGCATTTGGACCACATTGCACAACTGTAAGAGTGTTAGGAGCATTAAAAATTACAATGTTGCAGCTGGAGACAGAAAAAGCAGTGGAGGCTAGTAGTTTTCTGAGTCTAATTCCAAATTAAGCTGCAGGAAATTTACCAGTCCCAAGATTGGGATGACTGGAAGAGCAAAAAATTAGTATATGTGTATAGGCCATACCTATAGTCCAGCTCTATTTTGGGTACTACTTGTAGTTAGATGTGTTGCAATAGCATTGAAAAGCAGCCTGTGGATCAAACGAAGTGCTAAGAATAATGACATTCCAAGCTATGGACATACAAATTATTGGACATCCTAGGCATTTCCCAGCAACTTCTATGGACAACCTCAGTCCTGGAGAGTGTATGTCATTTTTTGTGTATTATCTGAAGAAACACCTATATTTTGTCACCACTGTTTTGTCACTGTCTGACAGTTGTCATCCAGAAAGATTTATCACTTTTATTCCTGTCAAGATTCCATTGATATATCATGGTTCATATAAAAATTATTTTATTATATTATTATTGTAATTTTTTTAAAAAAATGCTAAAAGTCTTAAATACTGAGACATGTTTTAAATATATATGAGCACAAAGCACATACGGTCAAATTGCTATTTGTATGAATCACTGCTGTGGAAGAAGTCTTCAGATTCTGAAGATTTCATTGTCAGGCTTCAATTCCTTAATCACCAAAATGGTTTGTTGATTTGACACTTTTAAGCAGCTACTTGCTTTGCACACAGTATTTCCAAAAACAAGCTGGAATAGAAGAAAACATCACTTTTAAAACCCAGTTAAAATATGATTCACATGAGCCTCTCTCTAATATAGCTTTGCTCATGGAATACATTCAGTTGGCCATTCACATCTATCTGCTTTTGGCACCCCCCAACCCGGAACCTTTCAGATACACTGAAATCCCACCTCTTGGCATTCCCACCATTCAGCCATGCTGACAGGAATTCTGGGAGTTGCACTTCCAACGCGCCTGGTTAGTAGCAGGTTGGGAAAGTTTGCATTGACCTATGATTTACTACCTGCGTTCTCCTGCAGCTCCCGGCTTTTTCTGGCCAAAGCAAAACTAGCAAGGCTCTACCCACTGTCACTGATATCAGAATGGTGCAGGCAGGGATAAACTTCCAGGATATGAATGGTCTTCCCGCAATCAGTGGCGGAATGGAATAATGGCTGGGACAAAATGATGACTCCCAAGATCAGTCGATGTAATGTATCAAAAACTTCAGAATCCAGACCTCTATGCAACTGGATCATGGCATTTCTTAATTTTAATTCAAGCCTTTTGGTGTTTACACTAACACTGTTTTCTGCCAGAAGACGTACCTCTTTTCTTTGATTTCTTGGAAGGCTGGAGTGTTGCTCTTTGGAAGTTCTTCCTAGTTAAAGGATAGGTTTTCAGGAAATCCTTGCTTGATTCAACAATACCTTGTTGTTGAGAAAAGTGGGGACTAGTCTGCCCTTTACTCAACACATCCTATCCAGAATG